CAACATCCACACCCCGAAAATCAACATCCACACCCCGAAAATCAACATCCACACCCCAAAAATCAACATCCACACCCCGAAAATCAACATCCACACCCCGAAAACCAACATCCACACCCCGAAAATCAACATCCACACCCCGAAAATCAACGTCCACACCCCGAAAACCAACATCCACACCCCGAAAATCAACATCCACACCCCGAAAACCAACATCCACACCCCAAAAATCAACATCCACACCCCAAAAATGGCTGGTTCTGAAGAGCTCATTAATGAACTCCTGCAGACACCAGACCCCCTCCTTCATCCTCACAATGAATCATGGATAACTGCATTTTCCAAAGGAGTTTTGTCCTCCCTTCTGTGGCAGTTTCCTTGAGGTCATTCCTGTTTTCCTGTGTCCCAGCCCTGGCTGTGCCCTGGCAGCTGGAGCAGGAATTACTGAGTTTGTCACAACTTGCTGTGACAGATCCACACTCAGTGCTGCCATGTAAGGACTGGGCTGCTCTGTTCCACAGCTTTTCAGGAATTGAATGTTAATGCCAGTGGTTCTTTGCCCTTTTCCACATCTCCTGTGATAGGTGGGTCTCACTCCACGCTGGTTTTTATTCCCATTTATCTTCTGTTCATCCTCCAGGATCTCTGCCAGCAGCCCTTGGGCTGCTCCTGCCCCTCTCTGAGTGCTCCCAGGGGAATTGTCACCCTGCCCTTACCCTGCCCCGCTAATTTTAAACCATCTGTTTTATTAGCTTTCAGTTTTTTTCCTGTTCTCCCTGATTTCTTACTTTTCTGCTGATGTTAAAATTAATTTATACAAAAAGCCAGGTCACTGCCATGCCTGGTGACACCATCCATCACTCCACGTGCTTCCCCACCGTTTGAGGAACAGAGCAGCTGGTACTTCAACCTGCCCCTTGCTGAATGCAAATCGCTTCTTGCCTTCCCATCCTTCTCTCCTGCTTTCCATGCTTGTGCCATTACCTTTTGTAAATCTTCACTTCTGGTTTTTCCTCATGCCAGGGATCACCACAAATGTGGGAATTTATGCCTGGCGCCTTCTAGTGCCCTTCTTGCCTACTCATTGCATTGGTGAGGTTTGGAAAAAGATAAAATTGCTGTTTTGATTCCATCTCTAATGAACCTCATGGGTTCATGAAATGCGACCTCCTGGGCACTGTCCTTGTGCAGTGTGAGAATTCCGGAATGGTTTGGGCTGGGAGGGACCTCAGAGCCCTCCCAGTGCCACCCCTGCCCTCCCATTGTCCCCAGTGTCCAACCTGGCCTTGGGCACTGCCAGGGGTGGGACAAGGAGATGCCTCCAGCTCAATATTCCCCAGCACACCCTGCTGAGGTCCAGTGCTTCCAGCCACAAACCCCAGACAAACAAAAGCAAATAAAACACCTACAGAGTAAAGATCTTCAGCAGTGTGGGTCCTGCTCAGTGCCATTGCTTCTCTCCTGGAAACAATCATGGACACCTCTGGGAATGTGGCATTCCTGCCCGTGCCCCCGGGGCTCCTGTGTGACAGGAGTCACACACCCCAGGGTGTAGAGAGTAATTTGGGACAGGGCTGAGACCAGACAGCTTCTGTCCATCTGCCTGCACTGCATGCCCAGCTCTGCATCCCCTCTGCCCAGCCCAGCCCAGCCCAGCCCAGCCCAGCCCAGCCCAGCCCAGCCCAGCCCAGCTCTGCATCCTCTCTGCCCAGCCCAGCCGCCCCTGGCCAGGACCCGTCCCCTCCGTGCTGCCAGTGTCCCCTCGCTGGCCCCACTGCCTGTCACCCCCCAGGGCAGCCACCAGCCCCTCTGTGCCCCTGCCCTGGGCACCTCCCACACCTCCTCGGGGCTGTTTCCCTGCCAGCCTGCACAATCCCACCACAGAACCAGGCAGAGCTGGGAGAGATTGCTGAGAGCAGAACCTCAGGGATGTCCAGGGAGTGGCTGCAGCATCCCTTGGAGCTCATCCCAAAACAGCTTGGAAGGATAAATCTATAAAGGGCTGGAAGCCATGAGGTCAGGTCTGCTTCCAGGCACGGGTGCCCGTCTGGATTTGGGATGGGGGGGATCACAGCACTGCTCTGGATTTGGGACAGGAGATCTCAGCACTGCTCTGGATTTGGGACAGGGGGGGATCTCAGCACTGCTCTGGATTTGGGACGGGGGGGATCTCAGCATTGCTCTGGATTTGGGACAGGAGATCTCAGCACTGCTCTGGATTTGGGACAGGGGGGGATCTCAGCACTGCTCTGGATTTGGGACAGGGGGGGATCTCAGCACTGCTCTGGATTTGGGACAGGGGGGGATCTCAGCACTGCTCTGCAGGATCCCAATGTCCTTTCAGGAGACAAGAACCTGGCGATCTTTGGGCACAGTGGCAGAGCTGAGCAGAGCCCACACAGACACCAAGCCCACCAAGCAGGAGTTGCCCACAGCAGATCCTCCCTCTCCTGGAGCAGCTTTGCTTTCTGAGCTGTTTGGTTTTTGTCCTTTGTGGGGATCACAGGAATCACTCCCAGTGTTTCCTCTTCCCTGGCCCCACCTGGGGCAGGCAGGGCAAACTCACACCCCACACATGGGCTACAGAACATCTCTAGACCCTGGTCAGTCGTGGGCTCCACCTGCAAATTTTGGAGACAATATATTATATTTAGAGCAATTCGATTAAATGCATCATATTTAAGTTAGAGAGGGAAAGTGCTTCTCTGTTTCATGTAAAGGCAAGGAAGTGTTGATCAGCTGTGACAGAGGCTAGGAACATCATTAGGAACATTTTAAAATAAAAGCCAGAAAAGCTTCTGGAAACAGCTGCTCTGATCTAAGAACTCCTGAAAATATTTGAAGTACTACAGAGCTTTGCAGCCTGGACTTGGCCTGGCCCAGGCAGCCCTGGAGACAAAGTTCATCATGAGATCCCCCCACTGAGTCAGGAGGAGCAGAAAGGACCCCCAGACACCCCCAGAGACCCCGAAAGCACCACCCCACCCCCGCTGGGCTCCACGGCTCCCGGAGCTGCTCCCCAGAGTCTGCTGAGGCTGGATCCTCAGCCTGGTCAGTGATCGGTGTCTGGGGCACTGCACAGCTGGGATTGAACCTTCATGTGACTTCATGTAAGGATGGGAACCCAAATATATTTACATAAACAAATGATTCGTTGTGATCATGGCTAGACTAAGAGATGTTAATCAGAGTTATTTACTGCACAGCACAGGTACCAGTGCAATGCATAATCTGAAATAAGATTGAAGCAATCCTATTAAAGCCAGCCAACCCCATTACTGAGCAGAGATTGATGTCACTCACCCAGACCAAGGGCTGGGGCCAAATCTCCCCTGAGAGGTGACCCTGAGGGGCACCCCTAGAGGGTATCAGGCAAAGGGCTGTTAGAAGATGCCCAGATTAAAAATCTGGGACTGGGCTTTTATAGGCTAAAGGGCCTGGGCTGGCCCTCAGGTGTCTCTGGGCTGTGCCAGTGCAGCAGCTCTAGGGAAGGGATCAGTGCTTTCACCTGGGGGTTGGTGTCTCAGGTACCTCACTGCTCTGCCACAGCATCCCCACACTCAGGATGTTGAGGTTTGAGATTGAGTCAGGCTGGTTTCTGCTTTGTCCAACCCCAAAAGCAGCAGGACCCCCTCTCCCCCACTCCAGGGAGGGCATCCAGCTGTGCCCACCCTCCTCATTTCCCTTCAAGGAGTTGCTGAAGTTCTGCTGAGAGGAAGAAAAGCCCCAAACAAGCACAGCAGCAAGTCCTTGCACAGGTCCTGCAGGTCTGGGAACCTTTGAGGGCTCCTGAGCCCAGAGCAGGGCAGGGCTGAGCCAGCTCACCTGGGCTGCAGCCAAGGGCAGGGAGATCCTGCCTGGCACAGTGAGGACAGTTCTGCTCCCCTGCCCTGCTCAGGTGAGACCTCACCTGCAGAGCTGCCCCAGCCCTGGGGACAGCACAGGGAAAGGAGCTGGAGCTGCTGGAGAGAGCCCAGAGGAGCCCTGGAGTGTCCCAGGGCTGGAGCCCCTCTGGAGCCAGGCTGGGACACCTGGGGGTGCTCACCTGCACAGGAGAAGCTGCAGGGAGAGCTCAGAGCCCCTGGCAGGGCCTGAAGGGGCTCCAGGAGAGCTGGAGAGGGACTGGGGACAAGGATGGAGGGACAGCACACAGGGAATGGCTTCAAAGCAGGATTTGATGGGATTTTGGGAATCAGGAATTGTTCCCTGGCAGGGTGGGCAGGGCTGGCACAGGGTGCCCAGAGCAGCTGTGGCTGCCCCTGGATCCCTGGCAGTGCCCAAGGCCAGGTTGGACACTGGGACAGTGGGAGGTGTCCCTGCCATGGCAGGAGAGTGGAAAGAGATGAGATTTGAGATCTCTACCCATCCAAACCTTATAGAGGTTTATGATCTCTCCTCCCCCAGGCCAATTCCCACATTTACAGACCCCACACCCACCACCACCCCCAGGACCCCTCCCCGTCCTCAGCAGTATTGCACATCAGTGCAACAAGGCTGACCCAGAGCAAGAGTTTATTATCCAAGCACCCTCCAGGGAGTCACAACAGCCCACAGAGCAGACAGCACGGCTGAGCCGAGGCAGCACACGGCCATGGGGAGGGAACAGATGTGCAGCAGCTCCCACAGAGAGCAGAGATTGTAAGAGGCAGGAACATCCCTGCTGTGGTCAGCAGCAGAGGTGGTGCCAAGGTCCAACACTGGGACAGACAGACAGACAGACAGACAGAGTTACTCGTGCCAGCTCCTCTTGCAGGCAGCAGGAGCAGCCCAGGCCATGGCCCTTCACGGAGTGCTCACAGGGACCCCCGTGCACGGACCCCACAGCCCCCACAGCCCCCAGAGCCCCCGCGGAGCAGCACAAGGGGCAGCAGGAGCAGCACAGAGCAGGGCCGAGCACGCACAGCTCGGCCACTCTCAGGAGCCACGTCGTGCCCCTGGCCAGGGCGGGATCTCTTCCTCTCAGCGTAGTATTTGGCCACAGGCACGTTGGGGTTGCCCTGGGCGGGGTCGAACCACATCTGGATGCAGCGGCCGCTGCCCCGGCGCTCGGGGCTGTAGCTGAAGGAGCTGGACCAGATCTTCTCACACAGGTCCTTGGGGCGGGGGAACACCTGCCTGAAGGGTCTGCACATGGAGCCCCAGGGACAGCGGTTCGTTCCTGGGCACAGACAGAGAGAGAACCTCAGCGAGAGCCCCGGGCCAGCCCTGCCCACCTGCCCTCCTGCCCACCTGCCCACGGCCACGCCACACCTGGGCTGGGGGCTGGGGGCTGGGGGCTGAGCAGCCCCGGGAAGTCAGAGCTGTCCCAGAGAGCTCCTGGCACAGTGACACTGCCAGTGCCCTGCCTGGGGCTCGGGGAGGGCTCGCAGACCCCCTGACCTGTTGCCCAGTTCCAGCCCTTGTGCCAGTTCTCTTTGCACGTGCGGGCGTCCTTGCAGTCCTCCCACCACTGCTCGCAGTCCTCCCTGCACAGGGGCACCTGCAGGATCCTCTCCCGCCGCCAGCTGCTGCCAGCCTGCAGGGCACAGCACAGCCACGCTGAAAGCCCGGCCCGGATCTGCCGCAGCCCAGAGCCCCCCGCCCCTCCCGTGGGCTCCGCGCTGATCCCAGAGGGTTCCAGCCCCAGCACAGAGGTGTCCTGACACAAGGAATTCTTCCATCACTCAGAGGCCAGAAACGTCCTTTCCTGTGGGGAAAGTTGAGACACCCCAGACATTGAAGAGAAACCCTTCCCTGGCAGGGTGGGCAGGGCTGGGTGGGATTTTGGGCAGGAATTGTTCCCTGGCAGGGCTGGCACAGGGTGCCCAGAGCAGCTGTGGCTGCCCCTGGATCCCTGGCAGTGCCCAAGGCCAGGTTGGACATTGGGACAGTGGGAGGTGACCCTGCCATGGCAGGGGTTGGGACAGGACAAGTTTTAATGTCCCTCCCAACCCAAGGAGTTGCATGGTTCCCTGCTCTGGTCCTACCTGCTCGATCCAGGGCCCCAGGTTGGGTGAGCACTCGTACAAGCACGTGTCCTGGATGAAGTGGCGCTTGCATTTGGGTGGCATCACCCCACAGTGCCTCCAGTTGAAGTTGTAGAGGAAGGACTGGTCCCTGTGAGCCTCTGAACTGGTGTTGGCTGTGCAGCAGGCATTGTCCTTCCAGGGGGAGCACTGCAACCGAGCAGCCAGGAGCCTTCAGAGACAGAGCTTTTCATCTTGCCCAGCAAACTCTGGGTCACTTTGGGCTGAGGAGCTGTGCCCTGCAGCAAGGCAGGGCTGAGGGGGAGCAGGAGATCAGATCCTCAGTAGCAATTAGTGCCAGCCCAAGGAACAGCAACAAAACCCCCTCTTCCTCCCCAGGGGGCTGGGGCACAGCAAAGAGCATCTCCCACACTGAGAGGGAGCAGCTGAGAGTCTTCCCTTAGCATTCTGTCCTCCTCATCCTCCCCTCACCATCCTCCCCTCATCATCCTCCCCATCCTCCCCTCCCCATCCTCCCCATCCTCCCCATCCTCCCCCCCCACCCTTTCCCCCGCTGTGCTCTGGGGTACCTGAGTTTCAGGAGGGGTCACAGAGGGGTGACACTGAGCTGACAAACCCCTGCAGCACTGCCCCTGCTCTGGCCTTGTGCTCAAACAAACAAAGATCTCCCGGCCAGCACGGGCTTTATCCCTCAGGCAAGTGGTGGCCAAGCCCGATCCAGCCCATAATATGCAGGGAGGCAGGTGCAGGGGCTCAGGCTGTCCCACCCAGCCCAGCAGCAGCTCCTACCTGGCCGTACAGGTTCCCCTCGGGGCCGGGCTCTCTTTTGTGGTGTTTGGCATCCATGCACACGTTCAGCAGTGGGTCCTGCCCTGGTGCCACGGCAGCAGGAGCCAGCAGGGCCAGGACCAGGGCCAGGGCCACTGCCAGTGCCATCCTGGGGACACAGCTGTGCACAGAGGGACAGCACAGGACAGGGGACAGCACAAGAGAAGGGACAGAGAGGGACAGAGCTGTGCAGAGAGGGGACAGAGCTGGGCAGAGAGGGGACAGACACGGAGAGGGGACAGAGAGGGACAGAGCTGTGCAGAGAGGGGACAGAGATGGAGAGGGGACAGAGAGGGACAGAGCTGTGCAGAGAGGGGACAGAGATGGAGAGGGGACAGAGAGGGACAGAGCTGTGCAGAGAGGGGACAGAGATGGAGAGGGGACAGAGAGGGACAGAGCTGGGCAGAGAGGGGACAGAGATGGAGAGGGGACAGAGAGGGACAGAGCTGGGCAGAGAGGGGACAGCACAGCAGAGGGGACAGACGGACAGCCCAGGCCAGGGTTTGGCACAGGAGGCAGCGAGGGAGGTGCCCTGCACTGGGCACTCCTGGGGACTGGCAGCAGCTCGTGGCACCAAGGACAGGCTGCAAGGTCAGCCCACGTTATCATCAGGACAGCAGCACAAACAGCCCGGGCACAGCCTGCACTGACCCACAGCCCTGAGCGAGGGGGGCTTGCTCTGGGACCCCACCCAGACTGGGCTCCTTCTGCCACCCCACTGCTCCAGAGAGAAGCTTCAGCCCCCAAACCTTCTGCCCCAAGGCATGGGGAGTCCGGGGATGTCTCATGAGTGTTCAGAGAAAGCACCAAACCCCAAACCAAACACCAGCACCAGGAGCTGCAGGAGGCCCATGTTGACTTCAGGAGTGTGTTAAGATAGGAAAACATTTTCTTTATCTGTGTCTGAGACTTGCAAACCCTGTCCTGGAAATGCAGCAGAGACCTGAATCATCACAGAACCACAGAGGGGTTTGGGTTGGAAGGGATCCTAAAGCCCATCTCACTCACCCCTGCCATGGCAGGGTCACCCTCCCCTGGGCCAGGCTGCTCCAGCCTGCTCTGATTTGGGCAAAGACAGGTCACACCAGTGTGCCCTGGCCTCCTCTGCCCACCTACAGTCCAATTTTATAGTCATTTTCTAAAAAGCACCCCAAAAAACAACCCCTAACCAACCAACAACAAGAGTTAACCAAGAACATTCCTTCCCATTCCTTGCTGACACAGCACAGGGATGTAAACCAGTCACGTTTTAAGAAGAATTTTGCAAAACACAGAAGCAAGACAAAGCATTTACAGCATTAAAGCAGCACAAAACACCCCAGAAAAAGCGGACACAGGAACCTGAGAACCAGGAAGGGGCTAACTTGCATTTTAACTGCATTTATGCCCCTAAAGCCTCCAAACTCTGTACAGCACCTCACAAGCACAGCTCAGCAGCTCCTGGGGCAGCTCTAATGGGAAAGGTGCTGGCACAGGGCTGGCACTGGGGAGCAGCTTCCCCCTCTCCGTGCCAGTGTTTGTCACTCAGGGGACGATGCTTTGGTGACAAGGGGCTGCTCCAGCCTCTCTCACGAGCAGGTGTCGTATCAAACACAACAAACCCCATTTCCCCACCCACCCTGCGTCAGGCAGGGGTTGGGGCCGTGGCAGGAGGCAGAAGAGACCCAGGGCTGTGGGAGGGGAAAAAATGCTGGAATAAATGCAAAAGGCAGCAAATGGCACACAGGCTGCTGCCTCAGAAGGAAGAACAGCAGCTCTGAGCACAAAGCAGAAATGCAGGCGCTGAGGGAAGCAGTGACCTGAGCACAGCCCTGGGTGCTGGGAGCCTCACCAGAGCCTTTCCTCAGCACGGGGACAGGGAGCTCCTGCCGAGCAGCTCTGGGGGATGATTTGCTCTTTTCTGCACTCACAGCACTGCTGTTTCACTCATGAATCACCGAGGAGCAAATCTATCTAAATCTCATGTGAGAGCACCTCAGGCTCTGGGAGACCCAGCTCTGGTGATCCCAAAATCCCTGAGGCTGGAAGAGACCTGCCCACCGTGTCCCCCACCTTGGCACCCTGAGTGCCACCTCCAGGTGCCACCTGCAGGGATGGGCACTCCAAAGCTCCCTGGGCAGCCCCTGCCAAGGCCTGAGCTCCCTTTCCATGGGGAAATTCCTGCTGCTGTCCAAGCTGAGCCTGCCCTGGCCCAGCCTGAGGCCGTTCC